CAATGAGAAGCCCACTCGCTGCACCTAGGTAGACCCAACACAGCCACAAAATAAAATAAATAAATAATTTAAAGAAAGATGCTGCCAACATTTTTCTGCAGGGGAAATACTCTGCCACACTGCAGTTAATGGTATCTCTTTTCTGCTCTTTCCAGGGTCAGGTGGAATGATGGGTTGGCTATAGACAAGGCTGTGAACTCCCTTCCAAAAGGAAGGAAAGAAGGAGGAACAAATGCCATGTGGGACTAAAAGAGAAACTGAAAATATTTGTGGCCTGAGATTTATATCTACTTTATCAATAAACATTCTTTAGGAAGGATAAGTCTATACAAGTTAGAAATGTGTTCACCACGCATTGTCCCAGCCCAGGGTTCCCTATTTAGAACTGAGTTCTATGGTAGCACTTTGGAAACACCGAGAGACCAACCAACCCAAAGGAATCACTGTGTCTCTTGAACTAGTCCTTCATAAAAGCAAGGCTTGGCTATGACATTAGAAGCTTAAAATATCAGACTGATACCACTCATCAGCAGGAAAAAAAAAAATGACATGCGTCTGAAACTTAACTGCACCCAGGGAACTCAGCACCCAGTCTATATCCGTGAATGGTTGACACTTTCATAGGCTGATGCTCTGGGTACCAACCACAGTGGTGAAAGCAACTTTACATGTTGGAACAGACTCGGATGTGTTTTGTCTTTTCATCATACTGCACCCTCTTCATGGGAGGTTTTTTTTTCAATTAGCTCCTGAAGTAAGATGGATTTCACTTGAATTTTGCTGTAAATAGTTTTTCCTGGTACAGGGCTTGGTAGTGAATGATGGAGAGAGATGGGAAAGAAGACAGAGGAGATGACTTAGGGGAAAAAGTGATTTTTAACCAAAAGTGATCATTGAAGCTGATTTTCTAGAAGGGAGAGAACTGGGCCTCTGTTGAAAGAAATATCCTGAAGGTTATTTTGGTTGTGGAAGTCCCCTTGAATTACAGTAGGTGAAAAAGACTTTGGGGCTGTCATAAAAGCTTGAGAAAGGTCATGGGACCCTGGAGAGGAAAGACTGGAGGAGGTGGAGGGTAGAGGACAGAGAGACAGAGAAAAAGAAGGAGCAGGAGCTGGAGGGAGGAAGGGAGGAAAGAATGGAGAGAGATTACACACTGGAGCCAAAGAGAAAAACACCCAGTGAGAAATCCCCAGACATGGTGGAGGATATTTTAATAAGGATGACATGCAGCAAACAGCCCCTGTTTTTATGGTGCTGTCATCCCTTCTCTGCTCCCCCAACACCCAGGAAAATAATATGGTGCTGGCTGTGCCTTTGTAAAAGGCTGTGGAAGGGTCTGTGGGCCATGTGGGACAAAGCAGGAGGACAGAGAACTGCAGCTGCGGAAGTGGGGAGGGTGCAGGCAGGAGCGGCAGGATGCCGAAGAGGCAGCCAGGGCGGGAAAGACGGGGGACTTCTACCTGCAGCAGAGTCCCTGTCTGCCTTCTTCTTCCCCAGCAGCCTTGCTTGGGGAGATTCCCTCCCCATATCTGGTCCAA